CAATTCGGCTTAAGTTAAATCTGATCAAACGTAAAGTCGACGAGGCCTCCAGTGAATTCGACCACAAAGTCGGTGAGCATTTGCCCCTTGATTGAGGTCCTAGGCAGAAATTAAATATCGTACAGGCCAAGTTCGAGGGCCCACTTTGAAACACGCCCCGATGCTTCTGCACTACGGAGTACTGACTGGAGAGGGTAGTCCGTTAGTACCCCAATGGTATGGCCCTGAAAGTAATGCATCAGTTTTCTTGCTGCCATGACGAGAGCAAGAATGAGTTTTTCCAATGGAAGGTAATGTGTTTCGACGCCAACCATTGCTTTGCTCACATAATACACTGGCCGCTGCTTCCCAAGTTGTTCTTTTAACAGTACGACGCTGAAGGCCCTGTCGGAAACTGCTAGATATAAAATGAGCGGATCACTTGCCAAAGGTGTTATCAAGAGTGGAACTGATCAGAGATAAGTCTTCAAACCGTTCAAAGCGGCTTCACATTCGGAGGTTCATTCAAAAGCTTTACCCTGCCGTAGGGTATGAAAGAATTATCGACAGCGATCTGTGGAACGACTGATGAATCTGTTGAGTGCGGCGACCATCCCCATCAACTTTTGAACCTCCTTGACTGACCGAGGATAGCCGAGTTCTAGAATTGCTGTGATTTGCCTCAAGTTGGCTTCAATTCCGTGGTGGTAAACAATGTAGCCAAGGAATTTGCCGGATCCGATCCCAAATGCACATTTAGAAACGTTCAGCTTCATTTTGTACTTGCGTAAAATGCCCAATGTTTCTTCCAGATCGGCTAGATGAATTTGCTCTTCTTTGGACTTGACCACCATATCGTCAATGTACACTTCCATAGTATGGCCGAGTTGCTCCTTGAACATGGCAGTGACAAGTCTTTGGTAAGTTGCCCCCGCGTTCTTCAGCCCAAGAGGCATAACCTTATAGCAATAGGTTCCTCTTGGGGTGAGGAATACGGTTTTGTCTTGATCCTCCAGATGCATGGCAATTTGATGGTAGCCTCTATAGGCATCCAGGAAGCTCATACGTTGATGATGTGCTGTGGCATCTACGAGTAGGTCTATTCTGGGAAGGGGAAAGCAATCCTTGGAACAAGCTTTGTTTAAGTCCGTGAAATCCACACAAACACGCTGAGTTCCATTTTTCTTCTTTACAACCACAGTATTCGACAGTCATGTAGGATAAGTCACTTCGCGGATTGCCCTGGCATCCAGTAACCGGTCAACTTCTTCAACAACGGTAGCAGTGTGTTCCGCGGCTGACCATCGACTTTTCTGAATAATCAGCTTACACTTGGGGTCAATGTTTAATTGGTGCTGAGAAACAGGTGGATCCACCCTCGGCATCTCATATGATGACCACGCAAATACATCAAGGTTGCTGAGTAAAAAGGAAACTAGCTGCTGCCTATCGACTTTATTCAGGGAAGCGTCGACCATGAAGAACCTGTCAGGGTTTCCGTTAATTTCAACTTGATCCAGATCTTCGGTTGCCTTTTCACTTGGAAGTTGCTCAACATCATCGAGGCTCTCTCGATCCGACACCTCAATAGAATTCACTTCCAACTCTTTTGGTGCCTTTGCTGCGAGAAGATAACATGTCTGTGCCGATTTCTGGGAACCGCGAATTTGTTCAATGCCGCGTTCAGTCGGGAAACGAAGTAGTTGATAATAGGTGCTTGGCACGGCCTACATGGTATGCAACCAAGTTCATCCCATGATAAGATTATACGACGAATGAAGCTTGACAACCAAAAATTCCACATCCACTGATCGGGAGCCCGCTCGAACTGACAGTATGATTTTGCACAACGGATATTCTGGATTAGCGTTGAAGCCGAATAACGAGTAATGAGCTGGAGACAGGTCTAACTCAGTGAAGTCGAGTTTGACGAAGGTCTTGTAGTACATAACTTCCGAAATGCTCCCCTGATCAATGAGAACACGCTCAACGGTGAATCGATTTACGCGTAGTTCGATGACCAAGGGATTAACGTGGGAAAGCGTCACACCGGCCAAATCTGAATCATCGAAAGTAATACTCGCAGCTTCGTGGGGCCGTTTCGCTAGTGTGATTTGCTTTTGGAGGTGAGGATGTGCCTGAATTGTATGTACGGCGGATGCCGTTGGCAAGTTGTATATCATATATGGATTACGCCGAGTGGAGGTGAATCCTACCGTGGAGCAACTGTTTTGGTTGAGTCGTTCTTTCGGACGTGTTGCTTAAGCCGACCGTCTAGTACCAACTCCTCAAGGTGATCTTTCAAAGCATAACAACTTTCGGTATTATGACCGTGGTCTTTGTGATATTCGCATCGCCTATCCTGTCTCTTTGTGTCGGGAGGTTCCACCATCTTGGGTGGCCATTTGAAAAATGGCAGATGTTGTATTTTAGACATAACCGTGCTGATCGGCTCTAAAATCTCCGTATATTTCTTGTTCGCTCGCCTTATGCACCCGCTATCCACTTGAAGTTTCTCATTAGACCGATGTGGACATTGGTCGTTTGATCGGCGCGAATCTCGTCTTTTGTCTCGTTTCGTCCGATTTCGTGGTTCAGGGCTTCGTGATGGTACAAAATTTATCGGCTGGATGATTTCAGATGGGGCTGTCTTGTTGGCCTTGTGCCCAGCTTTGACCCGCAGGGCGTCATCTTCCACTTTGCAATATTCTTTGACTTTCTTTATCAACAACCATACTATTTTGGAGGGGCCTTCTGGTTAAGGAGCTGCGAAGAGCACTATCAGGATACAACCCCATTTTAAAGGCGGTGATAGTTATGGAGTCATTGCAGGCCTCATCTACGAGATTAAAGCATTCCCAATAGCGTGGAAGCTCTTGATCAATGCCGGCTCCAATTTATAATACCATCTGACGGCCAAAGGTCCCAAACTGTTTGGAAATATTCGACACATGAGGGCCTCGTTGTCTGCATGTAGCGTCATGGCTTGCTTATAATGACGGATGTGATTTGTGGGGTCCGATTTTCCATCGTATAGGGTGAACGATGGAGCTTTGAACTTTTTGGGTAGCACTGCCCTTGCGACCCTTCGAACAAAGGGGTCATGTTGATCTTCTTCGTCTGAACCATTTCTTCTTCGCTTATTCCGTGCACGTGGACCCTCTTCAGAGGAACTGGAAGTTTCGACTCGTCTCCTCTTTTTGGATTCGGGGGATGATGAGTCAGAATCACCGTCATTATCTTGTCTCCGAACTCGAGGTCGTCGACCGTCCCTTCTCAGAGGTCGTCGTCCTGGATCTTGGCGTACGACCTGTTGGGATTTTGCCACCTCCAAGGCCAAATCCTGTCAAAGGTGCTCGTTCTCAGCAATCATGTTTTCCAACCTCTGTTCGTTTTGCTTCGCCTGATCCATGATCGCTTGTATTGTCTCATGTGCTGATGCCGAGTGTGAGGTCGGGGCAACTGAGTTGAAGTTCAAGGTTCTTCGTGCAGCGATGGTCTCGAGCCCAAGAATGTTGCTTGGAGTGGTTTCGTCTCGACGCATAAGGTCGTCAGTGACTATCGGAGGATCTTCAGTTACGTCCGCAATGGATATGCTGGAGTATTCCCACAGACGGCGCCAATTGTGGAGAAGTGGTTCGGAAATACTCTTTGGATCTAGTAGGACGCTCGTGATCCGCAGCTAGTTACCTGAAAAGGAATAAACACTCCGGTCGGGGGTGCCGGAATTAGCACTCTGACGGATAAGTCAGTGTGTACTCTCTTGGTTGCTTATATTTCAAGTTAAACTTATTTGTTCTCACCTGCCTCTTTTGGCTGATGCTCCTTTATTTATAGTCGTCATCGATGTTGATGGTTGGGCCCACCTTTCGTCCAATGAACAATCGCTCATTCGGCTATCTTTTCATATTCGGCCCAATCTACAACTGATAGAGGCCAATCTGGATATTCGGCCTCTGTTCCTCAGGGCTAGAGCCGTATTGTACACGATCTAGTTTCTTTCTTTAATATATTTGGCTATCCTACGTAATAATTTACTCGGCCCCTCCATTTATTATTAAATTTTGTTAATAAATTAAATTCAAATAGTAATCTAAAGGGCTAAATTGATTTAATAGCCCTCCAAGAGTGGGTTTTTTTTTTTTTAAGAAGAAGAAGAAAAGAAGTCCATACGTATTGAGTAAAATGTACGAGTTTAGGATTTAGAGTTTAAAATTTAGAACTTGTTTAGGATAAATGTTTGAGATGGCTATATTAAGCCTGATATTGTATTAAACTTGATATCGGGTTAGGTGAAATGAGAATGAGATATATTTTTATTATGTAGTGCAAGCCTAGATTGACTTGACCCAACCTGTGGATGTCCACCCCTTATAACAAAAAATTAAGGTTTTTAGAGACCAAATTTTAGGGACAAAATTATTTTTTAGGGACTAAATATTTTTGTTGCGAAAAGTGTCGTCATTATATTTTTAGTAACGAAAATTAAACATTAATAATGAATTTTTTTATCTTTTTGGAACCAATTTTTTTGTCTCAAAAAATAAACTATTTTGAAACTAAATTATTTTGTCCTTAAAAGTGTATTTATTAGTGTCATTTTCAAAATTTTGTTGCTAAAAGTCTTATTTTTTACTTTTCGGGATGACATTTTAGTGACTATCCTCACAACGATAAAAATTAGTCTCCAAATGTCTTTTTGCAGCAAAATTTTCACTTTTAGAGACCAAAAACTTTAGTCTCTAAAACGCTTATATGTTACGGTGTCTTTTATGCAATTCAAATTTAGACATAAAATTCATGTCTAGATTTAGGTGAAAATTCAAAGAAATTGAAAACCATGATTGAAATGATGGATGAAAGCCAGGATGGGAAGTTCATTGGCAGGGTTTCATTCATTACTTTACGGCATATATATTTGCTACTACTTTAATTTCAACTTGAATTAACAAAAGGAACAAAACTTATTTTTCCTTTGTTATTCTTATAATTTAAATTCTTCACCATTGATAATTTTGCAGGGTATTTGGTACGGTATGGTGTCTGGAACAATCCTACAGACGTGTGTCCTGTTTTTGATGATTTATAGAACGAATTGGAACACTGAGGTAACTGTTTCTTGCAATACAACACAAACATAAAAATTGAAAACACACACAAACCGAAGAAGAGGTTGTTGGAAAAACACATTGTGAATATTGAGGATCCTTGATCCCTAATAATAGGAGGCATGTGACCGTTGTTTGAGAAAAATAGATACAAAGTGACTACATGACCATTGACTAGAATATTTTTTTTTTCATTATTTTGGTGCAATCATCTTGTTGTGATACACACGTCAGCAAAAAAGAAGAAAAAAAAACATATTCCAGTTGGTCAAGTTTAAAATTGAAGTAAATGACATTAAAGTACAAATTTTAAAATTGCGTTGCTTTGATTCAACTTTAAACTTAAATCATTGGATATTACTATAGAAAGATCACAGAAAAGGATCCTGATCTCATGACCTCATGCTATTAGATGGAAGACAACTTCTCTCCAATCTGAGCTTGTGGGACGCCATTGCCTACACTTCAATGATTTGATCAATTTTAAGCTCTCATGTGTAGATCATTTTTAAACAAAGAAAAAAAGGAAAAAAAGATTGATTCAATTATTGCAACTACATAATTCAAGCTCATCTATCTTTAGAAAAAAAGATACATTGTTTTCAAAATTATATTTGTCGTCTAATATGAATGTGATGAAATTATGTAACTAAGGAATGTGGTGGGCTCACATGGACCCACTAGACGGATCCAGTCAAACTAAAGACAACTTGGATTCTATAAGATGATCAGACTGTCATGCTTGAATTCTTAACCTAATTGATAATTTTTTTATTTCCATGGAAAGTTTTATACTAGAGAAGAACTTATGAATTTGCTGCTAAATGCAGGCTTCCACTGCTGGAGACAGAATAAAGAAGTGGGGAGGGAGAGTAGATCCTGACAAGAATGATGAAGAAACCACAAATTAAGATCATAATGTGTCGGAAAGCAAAAGCTACAATTTTTGGTGACATTTAACTACAAGTGAAGACTATTTTGAGATGATAGGTTAAAAGTTAACTTTTTTATTATTTTTATTTTTAAAACGTGTGAAACAGTAGAGGTGTAGTATAACTCAAAAAAAAATTAAAAACCGAAAAAACTGATTTTTAACACAGTTGCCAAAATAGACCTATGTTTCATCAATAAATGTTTTTGGAACTTCTATTACCACACAATGGCTTCATTCATTTTTAAGAGAATGGGCCATATGTTGAAGGTGGGACTGAATAGTCTTTTCACTCTCTAGTCCAAATGTTGATGAAAATAATTTTATTTTGCAATGTGCTTAAGCTAAGAATTAGGAAGGAAATTAAGATGGATATATCGAAATTATTATTGAGTTTATGAACAAAAGTTGAATTTCTTATTAAGGCCCTGTTTGGTAGAGCTGTGTGAAAGTGATTAGAGATTATAACTTAGCAGATTATAGATTATAACTTTAAACATAAGCTGTTTACATGTTTGGTATAGCTGTGAGATTATAGATTTAATCAACAGAGTAGTGTTTCGTTAAATAAGCTATAAAATAGCTTTTAGCTATGTAATGTCCTTTTTGCCCTTTTTTTTTCTTCTTTTTTTTCATTTTATTTTATTTTTCTCCTTATTTTCTTTTATGTTCTTTTTTTTTTCCTTCTCTTCTTTTCTTCTCTTAACTTGTTTTTTGTTCTCTTGTTTCCTTATTTCTTTTTTTATTTTCTTCTCTTAATTTTTTTTTTCTTCATTTTATTTTATTTTATTTTTTGATCTTCTCTTCTTACATATTAATTATATTCATGTATTTATATTAATGTTGTGATTTCATTTCATATTATTTTTTTATATTCATTTTAGTTTATAAATACATGAATATTTATTATTTCATATTTTTTATTAATATAAAAATCCCAATTTTTTTTTCATTAAACAATTTTCTCTTCTTTCTTTTTTTATTTTTCTTCATTTTACAATAATTCCAAACCCTAGCCACCTTTGGCAGCTCTAGGGTTTTGCTCTGGTTCAGATCGCGATTGATCAGGATGGGTGTGGTAAGGGTTGTTGATCGCGAGCCAGGGTTGATCATCATCGTGATCGCGATCGCGACGCTAGAGTGAAAACGGTCAATCGTGACGTTAGTTTGGAGATTGCAGCGCAATGGTGGTGGTGAGCTCTGGTTCGTCACCGTTCGATCGTCACGCTGTCGATGATGAGCTCTGGTTCATCATCATTCAATCGTCATGCAGATGCGATAGTGAGCTAGGGCTTTGCTTCTCTAGTTCGTGAGAGAAAGAGAGAGAACAACTCAAAAAACTATTTTACAAATTGCGATGGCGACGGGAGGATTTTGCCACTCTGGTTAGGGTTTCAGATCACGAAGGTGGTGGTGACGGAGAGAGTTTCAGATTGTAAGAGAGAGACAGACAGACAGACAGACAGGCAAACAGAACCAGAAATCACCTCTCTTCGCTAGAAATCACCTTTCTGGTTCGTGCGAGAGATAGAAATGAGTGTGTTTTGGTTTATATACATGGCATACTTGTAATAACTTGAAATTGTGAGGGCATTTAAGTCATTTTGCCCCTCAAATGGCAGCTGCACGCTTAAACTGTTTCGGAAAAGCTTCTCCTCTCCCACGCAAAGAAAAAGTTGATTTTTTACTTATAAAAAGTTATAATCTGTATTATTAAACTAAACCAAACACACCAAAATAGCTTAAATTAAGCTAAAAGCTGAAATAAGCCCTACCAAACAGGCACTAAGAGTATAATTTATAGTGCATAGACCAAAAAAATGACTAGATAAAATAAAATGTATGTTTTATTTTTTTAATTTTTTTTTTTTTATGTTTATACATTACCTAGTGAAAAATAAAGAGATTATCAATTTCAAAAGCAGCAGGCAATGGATACATATATTTATTTATTTATTTGTACATGCAAAAACATCATTCATATAAGGTGTTTTTTTTGTTTTTTTTAGGGCAAATTACATATACACCCCTCGAGGTTTGGCTAAATTACAAATACCCCCCTGAGGTTTGAGAAATTACGAATTCCCCCCTGAATACTATATTTGCATAAGAAATTAGGGGGTAATTTGTTATGAAATATAAACCTCATGGGGTAAATTGTTATGAAAATACAAACCTCAGGGGGCGGGATGTAATTTCCGAAACCTCAGGGGATATCTGTAATTTAACCAAACCTTGAGGGGTGTATATGTAATTTGCCCTTTTTTTTAAGGAGAAGAGGTAAGGAGATGTCAAGAATCTTGATGAACTGGCGACAACACACACCTCTACTGATAGATCTTGTAAAAAAAATTTATATTTTTCAAGTGTCCAATTCTGTATTTTTAGATCTTATTATTATTCAATAGTAATCTCCAAATAAAGAACTTGACACCCACTGCATTATTGTGGTGTCGTTTTTGAGATCTAGACATATAGACAATCAATTGCCATTTAAAAAATAAAAAATAGAAAATATTGAGCCATGCCACGAGTGCCACGTTCATTGAGCTGTATTTTTTAATTTTTAATTTATTTTTTGTGGTTGAGTATCATGAAGAAAACTCTTTGTTAATGTGAACCAACCACAACCTTTCCACATGTTAGGGTCCAACATTAATGTCATTGAATAAATATCATTTCTATGCAGCCAAAATTGCAACCATGATTTACATACAGACTACTATAAATTAATTAGAGAAGAACAATGTTATAGAAATAGACAGAATAACTATAGAAAGCAATTATAATTATATATATCAGATGGTAAGACATATCATCGAAAAATTATTTCATTCACATTGCGCTAACTTATTAAAATATAAATTCAGAAAAATTTATTTTATATTATATTCATTGTAAATATGACTTTGATTTTATTAATTAGCCCCATGTGGAGTGGGGTGCTGGGGTCACCCCACTGGGGGTCCCAGCACGGTTGTTGAATAAATATCATTTCTATGGAGCCAAAATTGTAACCATGATTTACATACAGACTACTATAAATTAGAGATGAACAATATTATAGAAATAGACAGAATAACTATAGAAAGCAATTATAATTATATATATCAGATGGTAAGACATATCATCGAAAAATTATTTCATTCACATTGCGCTAACTTATTAAAATATAAATTCAGAAAAATTTATTTTATATTATATTCATTGTAAATATGACTTTGATTTTATTAATTTTAAATATAAACTACACATTTTCTTTTAAAAATTAAAAATTAAAATAAACTTTCATAACATCTAACATTTTTTATATTCCGGAAATTAAAGAAAGAGGATATTTCACACTCATTCACTCAATACATCGTCTCGTTTGGGAAGTTGACTATTTTAATAGATTATTTTAATTTTTAACTATTTTAGTAGGTTAAAATTTTTATATTTGAGAAGATTATTGGATTTTTTTGTAATTAAATATGATATTTGTAAGAGAAAAATATAAAATGATTATGAATTTGATGTGACATTTTATCATATTAACTATTTAATTTATTTTATCTTTTTATAGATTTTAGTCAAAAAAAAAAACAAAAACAAAAACAAAAACAAAAACAAAACAAACAAAAAAAAAATTCCAACTTGCTAAACAGACTAATGTCTAGTGATATTTTACACTCACTCACTCACACTCTGTTTCGCTTCTCTCTTTCTCCCTCTCTAAACATGGAGAATAGTAAACAACCACTTCTCTTCTCTAAAGAATCAAACACTACTTCTCTCTCTTCTTCCTCCGTCAACGGCGAGAAAGGCGACATCGAGCCGATTAGCAGTGCCAAAGATTTTTTCAGAGAATTCTGTGCGGAGTCGAAGAAACAGTTGTATGTGGCCGGTCCGGCCATCTTCATCTCCATTTGCCAGTACTCTCTCAACGCCGTTACTCAACTCTTCGCCGGCCATCTCGGAACCATTGAACTCGCCGCCGTCTCTGTCGAACTTTCCGTCATCGGCGGATTCCCTTACGGCATCTTGGTACCATTTTTCATCCAATAATTTATAAAAATGCCACGTAAATTTAAAATTAATATATGAATCATATATAGACAATGAATTTTTATCCACACATTTGAGTTCTGGACATAGTTCAATATTTAAAAAAATAACAACATGTAATAGTATATATTTTGTACATCACATATTTCTTGACGCGCAACAAATTGTTAAAAAATAAACTGCAAGTTGTCCTAAATTTAAATTTACATTTGTTTATAACTTATGAAAATTATGTTTTCTGACTCTCTAGTTTTGATGTATCCGTGGGGTTAGGAAAATTTTCAAAGGATAGTATTTCTTTATTGTTGCTATTACATAAATAGTGAGATTTTTGGTTTTTTTGGCTCTCTAATTTATTTATTTATTTTGCGAGTATTTAGACATTCATTTTTATAAAAAAAAAAAAAAAATTGAGTCTATAGATAAAGAGATTTTTTTAAGAACTTCTTGATAAAATTAGAAAAGGATAAAATTCCTAGGCCATTCTAAATTGGAAAATGCTATCCATCTTAATTAACTTATCAAATTTTTCATATGTGTATATGGATTCAACGCAAATTCATTTGTGTGTGAATCTCACACTTATACAAGAGATTTGATAAATAATTTAATAAATTATTTAAAGTTTAGAGACTGCAACCGCTTAATTTTTCACAACAGCAATGTTAGGTATCATGAAAAATCTTTCATGAAAATAATCATGAAAGCTTTGTAACCCTTGTATTACACTTAGAATAAAACACTACACATTAATCAAAGTAATCTAAGGATCATAACTCTTTCATGATCCCTAACTTTTCTCTTTTCACAATGAATGATGGTTTTACCAGTGGCCTACATAGACTGGCAGGAGTAATTATCTAATGCTCCGGAACAATGTTTTATGAGATACTAGTTGGATTTACACCTTTTGAGATTTTAGTTTAATACATATCATCTCGTAATGTTTGAAAAATTACATTAACTCTCCTATCTTTATAATTATTTAAACGGAATAAAGACATTAAATTCATACTCTCTCTATTCTTACGTTGCTTTATTTCCTCTATTTTTTTTTTTTCCTTTTCTTCGCTTTACTTTTCTTTTCTTTTTTTGTCAATGTAATTTCTTTTGTTTTTCTACTAGGAGTTGTTGCCTTTTATATAAAGAGGGGGTTTGTGAAATGAGACTATTAACCACATGAGTGAAAATATAATTTTTAAAAGATCAAAAGGTGAAATGTAATTGAACTAAATCTCAGAGAGTATCAATGAAATTTACCCTTAATAAATTCTAACAATTCAGATTATCAAAACTGACCCACAAATAGCCCAAAAGACCTAAATTGTTCTCTCAAGTTGACAACCTTACTTGTATCCGTCTAAAATTCACAAAAATCACATTAATATATGTTAAGGGTTATTTAGAATGATTTAAATAAATATATATTTTTTTTTATGAAAGATATTCAGAAAAATAGAGAGCTAATATGACCTAAATAAATACATTTATTTAAGGGATGCTAGACAAACTCTTAGTCTGATGAGTAGGAATGTAAGAAAAATCGGAAAAAAAAAAACAATTAAACCGATAACCAAATCAAACCGGTCATATTTGGTTGGTATTTTAATATGAATCGGTTTGTTCGGCTTTGAAAATTATTTTTATTCCATTTTCAGTTTGGTACCGATTTTGACATATTATATACCGATTTTCACTGAAACCGACCGTAGATGTTTACATATAATAAAATTATTATTTTTAAGTTTTGGTATTATTTTGATATTAAGACTTTGGTTCTTAAATTATATTTTATTTCTAATTCTAATTCAGTAAAAGCTTCAAGCATTAATATTTATTTTTATTTTTTTTTTGTATTTTTGTGAATAGTTAGATTGGATATGGTTAAAATAATGTACAAATGCCAATTTAATATTTTTTATATAAATTATTTATTATACTACAAATTTAAAAAACGATTCATTTTGAAAATATTTAAACCGATTAAATCACATTAAGTCGAACCGTTTGAATCGGTGCAGTTTGGTACGATTTGATAAAAAAAATTTGATCTATATCAGTTTCCAATATAATAAAACCAACATTATCGATTCGGTGCAAAATTTCACCTAAATGCTAAATCGGTGCAGTTTGGTGCGATTTGATAAAAAAAAAAATTGATCTATATCAGTTTCCAATATAATAAAACCAACATTATCGATTCGGTACAAAATTTCACCTAAATACTGAACCGATTACCTCCCTAAGTATCTTTTAAAAGAAATTAGCCTTTTAATCTTCCAAATTTTATATAAATATCACTTTAGCCCTCAAAATTTTACTTTGACCCCTTTATTTTTACAATTTTCCTAGTCAGCCATTGCATTGTAGCATTGAATAGCATAACTAAATTGCAACAGTTTGGGATGGGGAGTGCACTCGAGACACTATGTGGGCAAGCCTTTGGAGTAGGCCAACTAGACATGCTTGGAATCTACCTCCAAAGATCATGGATCATCCTCAACTTCATGTCTCTACTAATGCTCTTTCTCTACATTTTTGCAACTCCAATTCTAAATCTCATTGGCCAAACCTCTGAAATATCCGCGGTAGCTGGAGCTTTCTCACTGTGGATGATACCGCAACCTTTTGCTCTGGCGATGAATTTTCCGCTCGTTAAATTTCTGCAATCGCAGAGTAAGTTGGTGCCAATGGCTATGATAGTTGGGGTGACACTAGTTTTGCACACTTTCTTTAGCTGGCTGTTGATGTTGAAGCTGGAGATGGGGCTGGTGGGTGCTGCCATTGTGTTGAATTTGTCATGGTGGTTCTTGGTGGTGGCTCAGCTTTTGTATATTGTTAGTGGGGCATGTGGTCAAGCATGGACTGGATTTTCTTGGAAAGCTTTCCAAAATCTTTGGGGGTACTTCAACTTATCTCTTCAATCAGCTGTAATGCCTTGGTAAGATTACCTGTCTTCTTCCTAATTTGTCTCGTGTCAATTTAATCCCTAATTGAATTACATCAGTTTTACAAAGGAGTGTTGTTATTAGCATCCTATCAATTATTTTGAACATCTTATTTTTTAATTTTTTTTTTTATCACAATAATAACTTGAAATGAAATTATTAAAAAGGACATCAATTACTTTGGAACATCCCATCTCACAATTAAGCACACACCTATTACATCATGAGTTAAGATTTATGAGAGCACCTATGTCCATTATCATCCATCTATCTTCTCCAAATCCCACCTTCAAAACCTACCCACCTTAAAAACCTTGAAAATCCTTTGACGACAATATTCCAACAGTAACAGTAGTTTGATCAGTAGTTTGATTACTTACACTTTTTCGACAATGATAATGAGTGAAAGTTCTTTAGGCAACCATAACTTCGTGAGACGAGAGAAGTACAACAAAAAAAAACTCAAAAGATGTTCATAGCTTTGATAGTATTCTTAATTTAGAGGAGATTGGCCTTGTAAGGGTAAATTTCTTGAAAAAAAATGACAAAAATAATAAAAATTGTTCGTCATTTTTTCGGGACTAAACTCCCTAACATATGATCAAAATTCAAGAACACAGGCCCAAACATTATTCATTTGTTCGAGAACAAATAATCGAAACCCATGGAGATCGCAGAACCCACAAAAAAGGAAATTTTAAATCAACAACAAAAAAAACCTACGTTTATTTTCTCAAATCATGTACAAGTATGTGGAGATGAAATAATAATCACCTTCGTGTGTTTTGTTAGGATTTTTGGCAGAGAGGCTATTTGGGGTGTGGGGGTGTGCATTTAATTGAATGGATGGAATACTTTCACAAGGATAATTTTGGTATTATTTGAGGGGAAGAAAGAAATTTTAAGAGTTTTAAAATTTATAAGTGAGGGTTTAAAGAAATAAGGAGTCCAAAATAATTTATAGGTGCTAATACCATCATTCTTTACAAAATTTTCAAATTATATCAAGCGTAAATTACAACTTTCACCCTTCTAGTTTTAAGTAAAGTTTTACTTTGGTCTTTTTCCTATCAATTTCAATTATATCAATTTTAGTCTCTAAATTTATGATTTTGTTCATGATTAGTCTCATTGAGCACGTGTAATATGTTTTTACCAGCAAAATGATAAATTTTCAGTTAGTGTTTTTAAGTTTTAATATACTGCTTTTTTTTTTGGGTGCAAGATTTGTGCAGCTTACAAAGCTGGTATGTTCTGGCGTTGGTTATGTTCGCTGGTTACTTGAAGAATCCAGAAGTTTCAGTGGATGCAATGTCGGTGAGGTGCAGTTTCTTCTATCTCCTTCCAATTTTTTTTTGGCATAATTTTCGTTGGTATAAAAAACTCAGAGCATGTTTGGTATCATTTTCAATTTTTTTCGTTTTCAATTTTCGTAGTTTTGAAAGCAAAAACAAAAACAACTGAGGCGATATCAATTGTGCTAAGTAACACTTCCTCTCGTACTTGAAGGTTTGAGAGGTGATCACACCATAATATGGTGGACCCTCTCACACCAAATCAAATCCGTATATAGTGATTCAATCTTCCCGTAGGAAGAAGGTACTGGAAGTAGGAAGTTCAAGATTTGAATGAAGAGTCACAATGGTTTAGAAACATGGTGATCATTGAGTTTGAATTCCATAAGTTGCAACCACTAGTTGACAGCCACCATATGCTATACATATGGACAAAGCATAGGTTCAAAGCACTTGGATTTCTCTCAATTTTTCCTCTTCCAGATTGTATTCTTCTGCGTGAATAAACACCCTCACGGGAACTTCGATCCATTGCCATTGTTAAGTTAATCTTTCAGTGGTATCAGAACAGTGTTAAATTGAGTACGCAAGTGTTGAATTATGATATGTAGGAGGGCAAAATTTTAGAATTTATTTTTTCCAAAAATTTAGAGAACAAATTTATAAATATAGTGTCTCACGTCGGTGACTTGTATTTGGTTGTTCAATCACTATAAGCACAAAAATAACCCAACAGTGCACCCAAAGGAAGTTGTTGTGGTTGGATACAACGGAAGTACAAATTGCCGAAATCAAGTCCGAATATTGTCTAGTGAAGGAAGTTTTACAATTTTTATTTTCCTTTTCGGTTGCCAAAACACGTCTCTATCTTCTTCATTTTGTTCATTTCAAAATTTCAGTCGAGACAGTGAACTTCATTGTGAAAAACAACGAAGAATTGATCCTGAAAATTTGAGTTTTTTGTCTCTTGTCTTTGACGCCATTGCCGGAGATGACAACCTGAAGAATAAGACCATTGGTGAAATTTGTTTATAACAATCACAGGCCCTGTATTTGATTAGTTCTTGGGCCAGGTCCAAATCCAAGAAGCAGGGGCTCAAGAATTAAAGTTTCTACCCGAAACCCTATTACTAGGTCCAATACGGGTCCCAAACTGTTAAGCCCAAATTAAAAAGATATCGGGGAAATTACCCACAGGTCCCATGTGGAACATGTAGACACCATTTAATCCCATAACTTTTTGAGTACACCCAAAAGTCCTTTTCCTCTATTTTTCTGCTTTGTGCTTCCCTCTTTACGATTTCTTCTCTCGTTTTTCTTCCTTCCCCTTTGCCTCTGTTTTCAGCAGCAGCAGCAGAGCAGTCCAGCTTTACCCAAACGTGAGGCTAACAACAAAAGCAAAAATAAAGCTGGCAGCATCCAAGTTCCAAGTCAAGATCCACCGTTACCAAATCATGTTCTTTCCACTCATGCTCTCTCCATTTCTGAAATTACTTACCACTGGCGCAATATCTCACTTGATCTAGATTATATATGAAGTCATTCACTGAATAATGCAATCCTTTTGTAGAAGTCATCATCCAAATCGCAACCCTGCTCTTCGAAAAAATCAAAATCAAAACCTAAATCTAAATTAAAAAATCAAAATACACAAATCTACCAAATTTACACAAATCAAAAAAACAAAAAAAAAATAATAATAATAACAGAGGAAGAAGGAGAGAATAACAGATTCTGAACAAGTAGTTTTCGAGTTTTAGTTACAGGCGGTAAAAACTGTAAAATTTTGCAGTTTCAAATTTTTTTGGTACTGGAATGAATCATGGTATAAAACTGTAAAATTTTACAGTTTCATAACATGTTTTTCAGTTTGATTAATTTGACTCCGGCGACTTCCCGGTGATGTTGAACATTCCGACGAGTCTCCGGCAACCGTTTGACGGAAGTCCGATGGTAGTGAGATGTGAACAGTGTCTGTAAATTAAAAAAAAAAAAAAAGGATTTTTTGGTAACAATTAAAAATGTATTGTACTAATTGGTGCAAGTGTTTTGTTTTGGGATTAGCTGGATCTTGAACTTGGTACATGGGACTTATCAGTAAGTTCCCCAAAGATATTTATCATTATCATTATTATTATTTTTGGTTTGGTATTTTGGCTGATTCTTATTCATTTCAAAGTGAAATTGAGTGATTCAAAAAATTAAATTTTTCATAATTTTGTAGGAAACTCTGAAAGTCATTAAAAAATTTTATAAAAAAAAAATTTGTATCCATAATTGTGTATATATATTTAACATTATTCCATAGTAGACATTTATTTTTATTATTATTATTTAATGGCAATTAAAAGTGTCATGGATTCTTCAAGAATCGAGATGCTTAATGGAAATAATTCCCGAGCATAGAAACGCCACATTTCTTATCTTCTTACATATGAGAAAACATTGCATACTTTATCCACTTCTAAACTAGATGATGATTCTAGTTGGTTCCATCATAAATGGATAGAAGATAATGCAATGGCAAAGGCAACTATGTTACATAATATGAAAGATAACATTATTTTGCTTTTTGAAGAATATGAAACTGCAAGACAACTAATGGAAGCACTAGAAAGTAAGTATGGAGTTCGATCGGATACTCAAATTCAATTGCTCTTGGACAAATATAATAGCACTCGTATGAGTGATAATGAGAGTGTTGGTGATCATGTTAATCAAATGGAATTAATTGCTAAAGAATTATCCAACGCTGGTTACGCTTTGTCGGACAAGATGCAAGTAACTACCATACTTAATAGTCTTCCATTGTCTTGGGATCATGGTATCACATCTCTAACGTGGATTGATAGAAATTGAATTGCTCTCCTGGAAATGACAAGGTCTATGATAGCTCATGCTGATCTTCCTATTCATTTTTTGGGGGAAGCCTTGTCCACCGTTGCGTACATATTAAATAGATTCGAAACAAAGGCCAAACCTCTAACTCCTTACGAATGCTGGCCTGGAACTAAACCTAATGTTCAAAATCTCAAAGTTTGGGGATGTAAGGCACATGTACTTATTCCTAAACCTTTAAGGGATAAATTGGGAAGCAAAACTTGGGAATGCAAGTTTATTGATTATGTCAAAAATGGGAGTGGCTATCGTTTTTACCATCCCGAACGTGGATTGATAGAAAGTCGAGATGCTATTTTTCTTGAATCCACTGATCTTGTTACTCCTATTGAACAAATTAAATTGCTCTCTGACGTATCTCAGGATTCTTCTCTTCCTTCTTTGTCACACAGTCCACATATTCTCCCTGAACCATCTAATAGTGGGAGCAAACGCAAATTACATGACGTTGGTTTCCCTGCTTCGAATTCTGAAATAAGTGGGAGCAAGAGAGCAAGGCATCCATCTACGGTTTTGAAAGATTGTTATGTTTTTCAAGTTGAAGAACTTAATAACTTAGTAGATGATCCTACTAGTTATAATAAAGTAATGAGTAGTAATGATGCTACACTATGACTTGAGGCAATGAATGAAGAACTTGACTCGATCAAGAAAAATGATGTTGGGGAATTAACGGACCTCCCAAATGGAAGAAAAGCAATTGGTTGCAAATGGGTTCTTAGAAAGAAATTCAAAGTAGATGGAAGTTTGGAGAAATACAAGGCCAGGTTAGTAGCCAAGGGTTTCACTCAACAACCTGGAATAGACTTCGTAGATACATATTCTCCTGTTGCAAAATTTGCCTCAATAAGAATTCTAATGGCGATAGTTGCCAGGATGGATTTAGAATTGCATCAATTAGATGTTAAAACAGCTTTTCTCAATAGAGAATTAAAGAGAAATTTATATGATGCAACCTGATGGTTTCTAGAACCAAGGCAATAAGGATAAAGTCTACAAGTTAAAGAAAGCTCTTTATGGACTTAAACAATCTTCAAGACAATGGTACTTGAAATTTCACCAAGCCATTTTAGAAATTGGCTATGTTGTGAGTCCGTTAGATCACTGTGTTTATAACTGGAAAAATGATGACAAGTTAACAATATTGTCTTTATACGTAGATGACATATTATTAGTAGGAAATTGTCTAGATATGATTATAAAAACTAATACTTTCTTAGCATCTAGATTTGAAATGAAAGACATGGGTCTTGTAACCTATGTTCTAGAAATTAAAATTTCAAGAGATAGAAATTCAAAATTATTATATCTAGATCAAGAGAAATATCTAGACAAGGTACTCAAAAGATTTAATATAGATAACTGTAATTCTTTAAGCACGCCTGTTTGCAAGGGACAAAGTCTTAGCAAAAATATGAGTCCTCAAACTAAGTCTGACGTTGAGGAAATAAGAAATGTTCCGTATGCTCAGGAAGTAGGCAGCCTAATGTATGCTATGACAAGCACTAGACTTGACATCTGTCATGCAGTCGGATTGGTAAGTCGGTTTCAATCCAATCCAGATAAGAAACATTGGCAAGCAGTCAAAAGAATATTCAGATATTTAAAAGGCACTAAAAATTTGAAGTTATGTTTTAGTTTGTGTGATCTAGACATAAAAGGATACACTAACGCAAATTTTGCAGGAGATGTAGATGATAGAATATCTGCTAGTGGTCATGTGTTCTTGTTTGGTGGAACAGCAGTTTCTTGGTTAAGTAAGAAACAGAGTTGTGTTGCAAAGTATACTATGGAAGCTGAATATATAACTTCCAGCACAGCTGTTAGTAATGCGGTCTGGATAAAACGATTTGTTGACAGTTTACAATTAGGTATACCTGTCAGACCGGTCAGTATGTTTTGTAACAATCAATCTGTCATCTCATTAATAAAAAGTGGAGCAAATAGCTCTAAGGGAAAACATATTGATGTTAGTTACCACTATATTCAGGACATAGTGGAGAGAGGTGAAATTAAAGTCAACTATATACCCTCAGAAGAGATGGTGGCTAACCCTATGGCCAAAGAGTTGTCTTTGGAAAAATTCAGAGAACATGTAGCTAATATGGGATTGAAAAATACCTAGCTAGGTGGTTTAGCTACTTATATAAGAGCATAGTCGGATGACTCTGGAGACGCCTAGATAACCGATGTTTTGCGACTCTATCTTGCATAGAAACATGTGTTTGGTCAGGTAACAAGATAGAGGAACTGACAAGGTACGGATATCATAGTTAGCATGAGATGTAAAGTCCATAATATGCAATGTGCAAACTAGATGATATTGTCTGCTTAATCAACAAAAAGTCATTGATAAGGTGTATTAAGGAAAACCTTCAGGAATGAGTCTTAAAGAAAGTACTTAACAATAATTTTAGTGCAAGTCGACACATGAAAAATGTGTACCGCTGAAGTCGTCAATGGTGATTGGGTATGGACTATGAACCCATCACTAAAAATTGATGCCGTTCACTTGTTACATAGAGAATTGAAGTCATTTGAAATGTGTTGTCAATGGGAGAACACATTCGTACGCGTGCGGTCAGATTGGTGGCAAAAACGTGCGCACGTAGGGCCAAGTCACAATCAGACGTCGATCTATGAGGTAATTTCATAGATGAAAGTTGGCATGAGGCAAAATTTTGGTACCAAGGTAAACATGCCTAACTCAAGTTTTATCACCAATATTATAATGTGATTAAGTGGGAGATGAAGGTTTGAGAGGTGATCACACCATAGTATGGTGGACCCTCTCACACCAAATCAAATCCTTATATAGTGATTCAATCTTCCCGCAGGAAGAAGGTACTGGAAGTAGGAAGTTTAAGATTTGAATGAAGAGTCACAATGGTTTAGAAACATGGTGATCATTGAGTTTGAATTCCATAAGTTGCAACCATTAGTTGGCAGCCACCATATGCTATATATATATGGACAAAGCATAGGTTCAAATCACTTGGATTTCTCTCAATTTTTCCTCTTCCAGATTGTATTATTCTGCGTGATTAAACACCCTCACGGGAACTTCGATCCATTGCCATTGTTAAGTTAATCTTTCAGTACTGAATTACTATTGTCTATCGACATGGTTGCATTTTTAACACTTCCTCTTGTGCTAATTAATCTAAAGGAACTATTAATCACAACTTTAATTTTTTCTTTCCATAATCAAGAATAATGAGATGATAAGAACTTTTTGAGGTAATACTAAGCATAAAAGCTTAAATATTTATTACAAAAGTTTTTAGTGTAAATTTTTAAGATTAATCCTAATGATTTCTCTAATTTCAAAAACAAAAATGCCTCAGCAAAATTTTTAATTTTAGCACAAATCAGTGCAAATCATTATTTCAAATTTTAAATTCCTAATTTTAGTAAATCAAAACATAGCATTTTTTACAGAATTAAATTATTAAATATCAAATTTAAAAAAAAAAATACAAAGTGAATTTTGTTCGTAAAGTTCCCAAACGCTTGCAATTTTCATTATTATCCAAATAGAAATTAGTCATAGTTTTCACTGTTGCTAATTGCTAATTGCTGGTTTATGGGTTCTGCAGCACAAACATATATGGTGTGACTTCCATGGTAGCTGTGGGATTCAGTACAGCCATAAGGTTTTTAGCCCTATATGAATTTCACTTCCACAAAATTTATTTATTTATTTATTTTTAAGTCATGAAAAATTAATTTCTCACGTAATTTAATCACGCTGCTGCAGTGTAAGGGTGTCAAATGAACTGGGGGCAAAACATCCCGGAACAGCCAACTTCTCGGTGGTGGTGGGTACAATATATTCATCTTTGTTTGGGCTTGTCATGGGTCTTATACTGATGATCGACCGAGACCAATACCCAGACTTGTTCACAGACAGTGAACAAGTAAAACAGCTTGTATATGAGCTCACTCCATTGCTTGGATTAAGCATTGTCATTGGCAGTGTCCAATCTAGTTTCTCTGGTAATTTTTTTTTATCAATTTTTAGTTTATCTTTCGGTTCAAATCTTATTTTTATTATATTTGTAAGTATGATTTTGAATTAATTGAGGACAATGTTGCAGCGGTGGCAATTGGAGCAGGATGGCAAGCATGTGTTGCATATGTGAACTTGGGGTGCTACTACTTGTTTGGTATTCCATTGGGACTTGCTTTGGCTTTCACCTTTGACTTGGGTGTCGCTGTATGCATCTGTTCTCTCCCACTTCCTTTCAATATGACTATAAAGAGATTTGGCGAATTTTATGTAGTGTCGGATTTACTGAAACTAAACTAAACTAAATCAAGCTTTAAATCCTATCAAATGGGGTCGGTTATATGAATCTTTCTTCTCCACACAGTTTTATCAAAGACCATTTCGCTAGTGAAATTAAGTATATCCATATCTCTATTTACAACGCTAGCCAGCATTAATCTAGGCCTACCTGATCGCCTAACACTTCCATCTACCGTCACTGAATCGCATCTCTTTATTACTGACTTTGTTGGTCTCCGTTGAATATGATTAAACCATCTCAATCCATTCTCTCTCAACTTATCTTCTATCGGTGCTACTCGTACCCATTCCCGAATACACTCTCATTTTTAATTTTGTCTTGTCTAATCTTGCTACACATCTACCTTAGCATCATCTCAGTCACACTCATCTTATGTACATATTATTTTTTGGTTGCCCAACACTTCTTTCCATACAACATCGCTGGTCTAATAACCTTTCTTTCCATACAACATTGCTGGTCTAATAGCCATTCTATAAAACTTACATTTTAGGGCTGGTTTGGCTTATCCTATATAAGCCAAAAAGTCAAAAAGTTACTCCAAAATCCAAAAAGATATCACCATTCTAAAAAAAAAAAAAAAACAATTTTGTTTCCAAAAAGTACACACCGAATTCAATAAAGTGCGGCTGCTGTGTGCGTAAGTGAGAAAAAATAAATGATTGGGTGTGATTTTTACACACACCGTTGTTTGTCCTATGGGGCCATCACGGGTCCCGTTTTGATAATCTGAACCGTTCAATGTGTAGAAATTGTCGAGTACTATATGTCTAAAAAAAAATCACATTGATCGGATATCGATAACTATATGATCAAATCAGTTATGTACAACAAATGGATAGTGTTATAATTAATGATTGAAAAATAAATAAATCTGATCAGATAGTTATCGATATCCAATTAACGTGATTTTTTATAGGTACATAGTGTTCGACAAGTTACACACATTGAACAGTTCAAATTATTAAAATGGGACCCGTGATGACCCCCACAGATCAAACAAAACCGTCCAATGCTTTGTACAAAAATTAGCTAATAATTTCCAACTCAAATTACACAGTCGGTTGTACGGCTGGGGCCCACTCCTCTCTTATCATCTCTTACACACTTTTTTTATACAATTTTTTAATACACATTTTTCCATAAAAAGTCAAAAAGTTAACCCAAATCTCTATATTTTTTTTTTGTCTTTTTTAGTCCAAAAAGACAAAAAGTGCACTTTTTTAGGACACCCCAAACCAGCCCTTAGTCTAGTTGGTATTCGTTTATCGCACAGTATCCCAGACATACTTCTCCACTTACACCATGTAGATAAAATATAAAATAAAATGATCAGTTCATCAAAAAAATATGTTCTCATGCTCAATCATTTAAATGAATGATCATTTCATAAGGTGATTAAAGAATGATAATTTCATTTTATTTCACCAAACCAAATTCTACCGTGTTTGACTTTGGATCTGTTAAAAGAAAGAAAAATAAGTGGAAAACATATTTTTTTACAACTACTTTTCTTTTTTTCATTTTGTAATAACCTTCATTTTCTCTTCTATCTTTTTCCTTTTCATTTTCTTTTTCTTCCACAAATTTAAGATCCAAACACAATCTACATGAATTCAAACATAGGTTTTGCTGTGCATGAGTCAGGGAAAATATTTGTTGTTCTCATAATTTTTTTTTTTTAAATTTATTTTCAAATCAAATGAAAATTTTCAGGGAATATGGTATGGAATGATATCAGGACTATGCTTACAAACATGCATCCTGCTCTGTATGGTATACAGAACCAACTGGAATAAAGAGGTAAACAAAAACAACAGTATATATATACATAGATCAAGTTAAATGCACTTTTTGATCACGATAACATTTTAATTGTGTCAATTTGATTCCAAAAATACAGAACAACAATGTTAGGTATCATGAAAAAAAATTTATAAGAATAATCATGAAAACTTTGTGACTCTTGGATTACACTTAGAATAAAACAACACACATCCAAGGATCATAAATTTTTCATGATCATTTTTATGAAAAAAATTTCATGATCCCTAACTTTTCCAATACATAATGGGCATGTTTGATTGGAAGGATTAAAGTATGGGATTAGGATTATTAATCCGTGGGCCTAACCATCCTATGTTTGTTTTGACATTTGGTTTAGGACTATTAATCCAATGGATAATTAATCCAACAAATTTGTAGGATAATTAGTAATGGGGTAGGGGTGGGATAGTTAATACCACACTAATTTTATAGGATTATTAATACCTCACTATTAGTATTGTGAATCAAACATGACCAATGGGTCTTTTATTTTTAGTCCCCAAACCTAACGCGGTTCAAAATTAATGTACCCTTAATATCTAAACTATCCCTCATTCCGTTACTAATTTGGATTTTGAGATTAAATTGACACAAGAATTATACTTCATGGACTACTAGTAGCTTCGTTTAGAAAGATATGTCCCATTTTTAGTGAAAATATTTACTAGTGAAAGACTTCTATACTGGTGCTTATGAATGCAGGCAACCATTGCTGGAGACAGGATAAAAGAATGGGGAGGAAAAATTGGTGCAAAAGAGAATGATGGAGAGAGCACCAAGTAAGATCAAGATGTTCACAAACACAAGTCCACAATTTTTTGGCAAAAAAATTCAAATTCATAAAGATATTCATATATTTTCGCTCTAATTCTAGGCGTTGGAACATTTTATGAGTGGTTTGGGATGATCTAAATAAATACACTTTTTAACTTTTTATAAAATATGGGTTGAGTATGGGTTGGGTTTTAAGTGATGTGGTAGAGAGGTCATGTGACTTAAATAAGATGATGTGACTTAAATAGGATAGTGACTTTTTATTTTTTTAGGTTATGACAAATAAGGCTTAAAATATTATTAATAAATAATTTATTTATTTATTTTGTGACCTTTCACATGATCCATGAATGAGGAGTTACTGAGAGGTTATGAGTATTAGTAACTAGTAATTGCTTGGGATTATCAAGAATTCCACATTGATTAAATGAGTAGACAAAGAGGTGTATAACTAGCAAGAATTGGGTCCAATCAACCCAACGGGCGCAAGAAAGAACCCAAGCAATTGGGTACAAAATGTTACGAAACCCTCAACTAAACCCTTAATCCCACATTCTCTACTCAGGCCTCGTTTGGGAACAGGCTAATTTAGTAATTTTTTGGTTATTTGGTTAAAATATGAGCTAAAAAAAATTAGTATGTTTGGGATAATTTTTTGGCTTTTTACGAAAAGATGTGCAAAAAGTAAAGAGAAAAGAGAATCTTTGACTTTTTGGTATGAGTTGTTGACTTTTTGGTTAATTTGGTAACTTTTTGACTTTTTGGCTAAAAAGTTCGGTTGCCAAACGAGGCCTCATACTTCATAGTTTAGAATGCATACTATAATTTTTATTAGAATATCATTTTTCTCTTGATTTTTAATTATAATAACACTTTACATATTTTATTAACAGTAGTACATGGACACAAAATATCATTTTAGTTTTTTTCATTTTGAATTATAATAGTCAACATCTTATATCCTTTATTAATGATAAATGGACAGAAAGATGAGATTAAAATTTAATTTAAAGTGTAAAGAATTAATTGTGAAACTGAAATATGATTTAAAGGGTAAGAAATTAACTGTTGCAACGAAAATGAATAAGATCATGAGATAAAAGTAAGTATCATTTATCCAAAGTTAGATCAAGCTAATCCCAAGGGCAAGAAGGGTGACGCAGCAAGCAGAGAGACACGAGTACCACGCTTTTTGAGTCATATGTCGGTTAGTTGAAAGTCATCGATAAATCTTTCATTGTTTTTTTATTTTTTCAATCATTAATTAATTATAACATGTCCATGCCACCTGCCAAAAATAAGAGAAAAGGCCACCCAAAAAAATGTCATAATCTAGAAATTATTTTTAAAAGTTGTTCTTCTATCAGATATTTTTTCAGATTTATTTTATTTGTAATTGATTTTTTTTTCTTGTTTTTAATGAACTTTTTCCTTCGAAAAATTAATTTTTTTAAATGATATGGACCTAAAAAAAAGTCAAAATAGAGGGAAAAAAATTGATAATTTTTTTTATAAAAAAAATTAAATATATTTTTCTTTTTATAAAAAAAAAAATGTAACTTATAAGCGAGTGTCAAAAAAAAATTTGTGATGTTTTGATGTGCAGTTTACTCTTTGATGTGCTGAAAAATAAATCTATTCCAACGAGGCATATTAAATTCTGCAACCACCTAAATAATTGAACTTAAAGGAAGAGATGACGAAATCCTATAGAATCCAAGATTTTTTTTTTAAATGATTTTTTTATTTGATTTTTAAGATGATTTAATAGAGACAATAATGCTATCGATTCAAAATGGAATTTCAAGATCTTTTGAAAAAAGATTTAATTATAGAATAAAAAGGATTGAGACCGCTTTTTCTAGTTTACTAATTCGACTTAAGGGTCAGTTGACGGTTTTGTGAGCTTATTTTGAATTTATTTTGACAACCTTATCATTTAATTTTTTATTGGTCTCGTGAGGAAATGAAGTCATTGTTGTGCTAAAGGCACAGTAGTAACTGTTGTACCTCAATTTGAGGTATATTATGAACTTATTTTTATAATTTGAACCGTTCATTTTGTAAATTTTATTGAGTACTTCATATGTACCAAAAATCATATTAATCAGATATCAATAATTATATGATCAATAACCAAAAAAATAAAAAATAAGTTTTTCTTTTGAGAATAGCATAAAAAATATGTCATTCGATCATATAGTTATTGATATCCGGTTAATATGATTTTTGGTATGCATGAAATAATCAACAAGTCCTACAAAATGAACAGTTCGGATCATAAAAATAAATCCATAATACATTTTAAATTGATACATAACAGTCACTGTTGTGTCAAAAGCACAGCAGTGACCCTATGTCCGTCTTGTGAATAGATCATTTATATATATATAATAAATTGATTAGATATAAGTAATTACATGTTTGATCACATTTGACTCAACAAAATAGATAATTAAAAATTAAAAAAAATTATTTTTTGAACACAAATGTGATCAAAACATGTAATTACTAATATTTGATCAATTTAATTTTTTACATGAATAATTTAATTAGAAAGCTCTAAGACTAATGTTTGAATGATGAGAATTTTAAAAGAAATTGAGAATGTTATTACCAATAATAGAATTCATATGTCATTGTTACTCAAGCGTTTGATTTCGCTAAGAATCCTTAATAATAATATAAAAATGATAAAATTTTAGATATTGTAGTCCCAATTATTAATTTTTACTCTTAGAAAAACAATGTAAGATTCTCATCGTAAAGTGGGAGAATCATATTCTGACTCAGCTTTTGTAATTTAATTATTGCTCAAATATACAATAAGAAATCACTTCTCTATTCCAATTTACTCCAAACCCTGTAATTAAGGGGATCCGAAAACACATTCTCAATCTCTTCAGAAATTTTATTATTTAAACATAACTTAAATATTAAACAGATCAAATAATTGAAACAGGCTCACAAGATGCTCAATAAGACCATATTCAAGGGAGTAAGCCCCCTCTACACACAAAAAATAATAATAATAATAATAAACAAAAATTTGAAAAATAATCAGAATATTAAGTGACAGGATCATGTGAGTTCATTCTTTGATACCTTTTAGTACTATTTTTTTCTTACACCCTTGTTCCCTAACTTTACTGGGAGGGAAGGTTGTCCCCCTCCTCAATGTAGCTGGAGTTTGTTGAGCTAACTGATCATGGACCAAACAGATGTATAAACAGAAAGCTCATGGACCAAACAGATCATCACTCTCTCCCTAATAACTAACATGGTGGAGAGTAATAAACAGCCACTTCTCTCTCCCAAACACTCAAACACTTGTATCTCTTCTTCTTCTTCTCCTCCTCCTCCTCCTCCTCCTTCCTCCTCCATCAATGGCGATGAAGAAGGAGACATTAAGCCAATTGGCAATATCAAAGATTTCATCAGAGAATTCTCAGCTGAGTCGAAAAAGCAGTTGTACTTGGCAGGCCCGGCCACCTTCATTGCCTTGTGCAATTGCACTCTCTTGACTATTACTGAAGTCTTCGCAGGCCATATTGGAACAACTGAACTTGCTGCTATGTCTGTTCAAATTTCTGTCATAAGCGGATTCACTTCTGGCATCTTGGTAAGGGTATTACGATCACATTCGGTGTCAGCAATGCTAGAAACACTAACTAATATACCGATAAATAGACACAAGATATGCATGTAGCTCCATCACTTCGGTGTGGACATTGTCTTGTGCCTAGTTAGTATATTTATTAATATATTAGTTAGATCGATGACTTACTAGAAACAAAATATGTCCATGGCTTCGTCACTTGATGTAGACATTGTGTCTAGTTAAGTCACATTTGGCAATTACATAATTTAGTTAAAATGTCAAAAGGCTACTGTAAGTTGTCACATCGTTTTCTTACATTTTTTATATATCTTTTCATAAAAAGTCAAAATGTTACTAAAATAGTTTGTTCTCAAATAAAACCTTAATATGTTCATCGATCTAACTAATATACCAATAAACATGCTAATTAAGCAAAAGATATGGATGTGACTCCATCACTTAATGTTGAAATTGTATCTAGTTAATATATTTATCGATCTGTATATTAGTAAGTGTTTCTAGATAATTTATTTCTGTTTGTTTAGCTGATTGTTTCTCTCATTATAGGACTGTTTGTTTAGTTTATAGAGTTGGACTTATGATTGGTTGTTTCTCCCAATTGACAAAATAATAATAATAATACTGAATGATTAAGTTTCATAATTTCCCATTGTCATTTATTATGAAAAAACAAAATTTCAATGTTGTGATTATTAATACAACAATGATTGAGATTCCTTTTTTTTTTTAAGATCTCACAACCCTTTTTAGATCTTAGATCTCAACTATTGATGGTGTGGACCCCACATACATGAGTGAGTCTCACACATACATGGTTGAGATCCAAAAAGAATTGTGGGATTTCCAAAAAAAAGAATGTCAATCATTTTTCTTATTAATATGTGCTCCTCGACGTTAAATTTTTTACTCTGTTATTGCCCATATTTACATCATACCATTGACAAAGTGATTTGAAACAGTTGGGCATGGGGAGTGCACTAGAGACCCTTTGTGGGCAAGCATTTGGAGCTGGGCAACTAAACATGCTTGGGATCTATGTCCAGAGATCATGGATCATCCTCATCACCACAACCCTAATCCTCATGTTTCTCTACATTTTTGCCACTCCGATTCTGATCTTCATCGGCCAAACTCCTGAGATATCAAAGGCAGTTGGGGCATTCACGGTGTGGATGATTCCCCAGCCATTCGGTCAAGCGATCAACTGCCCGCTCACCAAATTTATGCAAATGCAGAGTAAGATGATGGAAATGGCCGTCATAATTGGGGCGACAACTGTTTTTCATGCTTCCTTTTGCTGGCTCTTGATGCTGAAGCTGGAGATGGGATTGATTGGTGCAGCCATTGTCGTAAATTGTTCTTCGTGGTTTCTAACTATAGCTCAGTTGATGTATGTTTTCAGTGGATCTTGTGGTCGAGCTTGGTCTGGATTTTCATGGAAGGTTTTCCATCATCTATGTGGATATATTAGGTTAACCCTACAATCAGCTGCAATGCCTTGGTGAGATATCCCAACTTGTATTTTGTCACATTTAATCATATATTGTTTTTAACAACATATTGTTTTTGCAAGATTTGTGCAGCTTACAAAGCTGGTATGCTACAGTGGTTGTATTGTTTGCTGGATATATGAAAAATGCTGAACTTTCAGTGGATGCTATGTCCATAAGGTGTATTCTACCATCCTAATTTGTTTTTTGTGTAATTTTTTTTTTTTTTTTTTTTTTTTTTGATGCAACTCCTTACAAATTGAACCTTAATAATCAAAAAATAAAAGCAAAACACATATTCCTCTACTTCATAAATTACACCAAATAGGGCAGCAAAATTTTTTTGAGCAAATTACACAAACCTTCCCTGACCAAACTAAATTTAATGCTTTGTTTGTTTTTAGCAAAAAATATTTTCTACATTTGTGGTGTTGGATATGATGAAAACAAAGGCCAACAGAAAACGTTTTTGATGATCAACAAAAAATAAATTTATTTAGGTGAAAATATTTTCCACAATTGAAAGAGTACTAAACAGTTTTTTTAAACTAAAGTCTTACTAATGCCACCACACTACCACCGCAACAACCACCACCATCATCATTCATACCACCTCCACTAATACAACTATTAGCACAACCATTAATACATTAATTTCAAAATAGCAACCAAACATAAGAAAATATGTTCCCTATAAAACCATTTTTCACAATAAAATAAAATAAAACAATCCTAGAAAAGCTTTTCATTAGAAAATGTTTGTTGAACGGAGCATAAATAAAAGTTTTGAGGGTGAAAAGTATAATTTATCCTAATTTCATTATTCCTATTGCTAATTGTTGCTCTATTATCCAATGGGTTTTGCAGCATGAACGTATGTAATATGACATCCGTGGTAGCCGTGGGATTCTGTACCTCCATAAGGTTTTATACCAGAAATTACCCTACATGAATTTTGGCTACAACTAAAAACAAAAATAAATAAATAAAAGAAAATTTATGGCGTCACGTGTTTTAAATAAATGTGCAGCATAAGGGTGTCCAATGAACTAGGGGCAGCACACGGTCACAAGGCAAACTTCTCGGTGGTGGTGGGTGCAATATATTCATCTCTGCTCGGTCTTGCTATGGCTCTCATTCTGATGATCACCCGGAATCAATACCCAGACTTGTTCTCAGACAGTGAACAAGTTAAACAGCTTGTATCTGAGCTCACTCCACTGATTGGAGTGAACATTGTCATAAGCAGTGTCCAAGCTAGTCTCTCTGGTACTTTAATTTTATGTTTTGTAATTTGTTTTCGATCTCAGACCATTTTTTGTGTTTTGTGAAATAGGGGCACAAATGACTGAATGAAAACATTGTTGCAGGGGCAGCCATTGGAGCAGGATGGCAAGCATATGTTGCATATGTGAACTTAGGCCATGTTTGTTTGGGCGGACTGGATTAGCATTCCCATGACTAATAGTCCTAGGATTACGAATCCGTTGGATTATGTATCCTATCTTAACTAATAGTCAAGTTTAAAATAATTAGTCCGTACTTCAATTGTTTAACCAAACATCGGATTAATAATTTTATTGGACTATTAGTCCAATCCTAAGCTCATGTCCATCCCAACAAACATGGCCTTAGGGTGCTACTACTTGTTTGGTGTTCCGCTGGGACTTGTTTTGGCTTACGACTTTAACATGGATGTCATAGTGAGCAACTCCTCTCTCCCATATTGGTTAACAATGGGTTTAGTATCCTTCAATACCCACTGTTTACAAGCCAAACTTTAGAGGTGAAATATATCCTATGAAGCACCCACACTTCTAAAGGGAATCATATCTGTATCTTACAGTGAATTCTATCATATGAAGCACGAAGACTTTAGTATTGTGTACGGATATAATACTATCATGCTCAATGCAAATAAGTTGCACTGAAAGAACATTATAAGTGAGTGAAACCGGCAAGCAAGCAACATGCTAATAAGTTGCACCAAGCACCATCCTTTGCAAGTCAGTTTAAAGATGAATTATCACCCTATGAATTTAGAGATATGAATATAAACTCCTAGGCACTATCCCTTGCTAGCCACTTTTCACGCGTGTAAAGAAGCTAAGATGCCTAAAATGAGTAAGAGCAGAGGAGGTCATGAGAAACTAAGTGACAGGGTTTTGCTATATACTGAATATGCATTGCTCAGTGAACATATATTATCTATCAAATTTACTTGTGCTAAAGATCAAATTCCAAGCTGCTAAAAGCTAATAAGAATCAAAAAATGTTTTAAGGTTGTTTTGTTATTCTCATAAATTTTTTCCCATTGAAAATTTTTCAGGGAATATGGTACGGAATGGTATCAGGATTATGCCTACAAACATGCTTCCTACTCTGGATGATTTACAGAACCAACTGGAATAAAGAGGTAAGCGACAATAGTCTGTATACAGAGATGTTTTTTTTCTAAGACATAGCTACATATATGAACTTTCTTTATAAGGTTAAAATGATTATCTTATCAGCCACCTAGTAGTTTATATTGAGAAAGATTTACTAACGAAAGACTTTCATACTGGTGCTAACAAATACAGGCATTCATTGTGGGAGACAGGATAAAAGAATGGCGACGGAAAATTGGTACCAAAGAGAATGATGAAGAAAGTAAGAAGTAAGATCAGGAGGTGCACGGAAATAAGTCTACAATTTTGAGGAAATTTAACTATATGAGTTCTCCATATATTGTCGCTCTAATTCTAAGAAAGAACGTCACAATGCCTATCAACCACCTAGCTCAATAGGTAGAAATGACTCTGTGTGTTTGCGCACACACTTGTCTTTGTTCCTTTTTCTTTCTATTTGCACCAAAAATTAAATTCTTCATCAAGACTCCACCAACATTAACATGGCATAGGAGTCGAAGGAGTCACAGGCACAATAGAAATCACTCCAAAATAAACCTCTGAAGAGAATTTCAAATAAAGCATGATAGAAATTGTGTCAATTCATGTGAATACAATTTTTTTATTTTTTTATTTTTTTGCTTGTAAGAAAAAAAACACTTCACATCGACTAGTTTTCTGAATAAAAGAGTTCACTATAAATTTAGTGCAAACAGCAGACAGAAAATGAGTGCACTACCTCCTAACAAGAAATTTCAAGACTCCCAATTGTGCAAGTATTCATTAAGATTTACTAGAATTTTCACTTTCAAAAGCATAAGAAAACAAACGACAAAGAGACAGATTGGTTTGAACACTTACCACCAACCAATATATTATGCATCATTTTACTTGCAGGAAAAATAAAAATAAAAAATCAGTTCACAAACAATATCTTCAGTCTAACCCATTGGTAATGCAACACAATTTGAAGTTGCGTATGTTGACACTACTAAGTACATATGAAAGACAATGAACAACACAAATAAAAGTTCAATGATTAATCACTCCGTAAATTAGATCCTAATACGACATGGAAAACAATGGATTGAAAGATTGTCACTTTGCACAACTAAATAAGCCCTGATGACGTCATGGAATAGTTGTTAGGCTGAAAGATCTGAACAAACCCACATTGAGTTAGCAAACAAACCTCAACTCTAGTGCCAGTATTTCAAACTTCAACACTCACACTGGATTTCGACATAAAATTGTTACAATTCAACCATTTCCTCCGATTTTTCTTTCTTTCTTTCTTTGTTGTGCACACAGTATTACTGGTTCATTATCTTACTCAAATCAATTGACCCATTTCAAATAAAGACTATTACAACTAAGAGCATCTCCAATCCTCAACAAAATTTTCATCAAATTTGAACTTGATGAAAACATGGCTAAAGGTGTGCTCAACCATTTCATCAAGTCTGTATCAAATTATTGGATGAGCAATTTTGTCGCAAAATCAATGATGAACCAAATGATTCACAAAATTTCCAAGAGTCATATTTTTACTCAAATTAATGAAATTTTAAAAAGAGTAAGGATTGGAGACCATTTTCTTTCATTAAAAAAAAAAGTAGTTAAAACAGATCTAAGTTTAGAATTTTTAAAAAGATTTGATTGAAAAAAAAAACACAAGTGAGCATCTCCAATCCTTCACCTTTTCTTTCATCAAAATTTGATGAGAAGTGTTCAAAAATCATCTCCAATCCTTCCATCAAAAATCGATAAAATCAAGGGAGAGTATTTTTTTCATCAAATTGAGAACTCATCAAAGCCTTCAATGAATAAAATATAGAAAAATGAAGCATTGGAGAAGATTTTTTTCATCAAATTTGATGAAACCACTGGGGATAAAAAGGGGATTTTTAAAAATATTTTGATGAAAATTTGATGAACAGATTGGAGTAGTTCATATCAAATCAAAATTTTTACTCAAATTTGGAATCAAATTAGATGAACAAATTGGTGAAGGGTCGGAAATGCTCTAAGGATTGTAGCGTTCTATATCAGATCAGAAATTTAACCGAATTTTCACCCAAATTTCGATGAAAAAGACTAGGGATTGGAGATGCTCTAACAGATTAAGACTTTGCTTTCGCAAATTGAAAGCCTGCAATTCATCATCCAATTACGCTATACTAAAATAAACTCATAAAAAACCACAATCAACATCACCAAAAAAAAATTTGAAACCATATCCATATTGCATTGCATAATCAAAATCGCATCAAATCCAAATAGATCCAACATAAACCACAGTTATTTCAAAAACAAAATACTTCAAATTCAAAAGCAAAACCAAACCTAAGCAGTAAGCACAACAGCACCACCAGCCTCCTTGATCTTCTTCTCAGCAGTCTTCGAGACAAGCTTGGCCTTAACAACAATCGGCTGAGAAGCAGGCAAAAAGCCCTTGCCGAGGACCTTAAAGTAGCCGAATTGCGAAACATCGATGACCGGAGCGTTGTTGGGGGAAGCCTTGTCCTTGATTTCGTTGGGGACGAGGGACCAGAGCTTGTCGATGTTGACGATGGGGCAATGGAACTTGTTGCGGAGCCTGTGGAAGTACCTCATGCCGACCTTGCCGAAGTAACCTGGATGGTACTTGTCGAACAGGATTCGGTGGTGGTGCATACCTCCGGCGTTTCCTCGGCCTCCGGGATGCTTGCGGTGTTTTCCGATTCGCCCATGGCCAGCGCTGACGTGGCCTCTCTTCTTCCTGTGCTTCTTCAACCTCGTCGTCATTGTTGCTCTCTCTCTATCTCTTCTCTCTCTCGCGCGCTCACACAGAGAGACAGCGTTTGCGGCAACTGAAGCAGAAAGCTAGGGTTTTGGGGGTTGATATTTTTGTTTTGTTTACTGTTTTGCCCTCCGGGTTTCTTGTGAATTACTGGCTGATTGCCAGGGTAAAGAGGGAAATGTATTAAGTGGGTTGTTTTAAATGGGCTAAAAATTAAACATTTCAATTGAGGGTTTTCTGAGCCTGTCCAAAGTCCACTAATTGGAAAAGTCTTAGCCCACTTCGATGACATTTTTGTTTGGTTTTATTTTTAGATTTTATGTTTTAATTTAAAATAAATTTAGTGAAAATAAATTTTCAAATGATGTTTTAAAAAAAATTTTAAAATTTTTTTGCCAAAAAAAAGGATTATTTTTTTAAAAAAATTATTTTTTAGTTTTTTTTTTTTTCACACACAGATTCTTTTTTGTGTATTGAATTTTTTTATGTTGGGTAAATTACACTTTGTCCTTTTTGATTTAAAATTTTTTTTTTCAATTTGACCCTTCATATTTTAAAATTTTCTCAATTTACTCCTAAAATTAATTTTTGTTCAAAATTAAAAAGAAAATGCCATGTTAGCTACCATATGATATATAAATATATATATATATTAATATTATATTTTGACATTTGGATTTATGTTAAAAGTGTGAATTATATATAATAAAATATTTTTTGTGCCACATGCTGTCCATGTGTTATTTTCTGTCTAAGTTTGAACAGAAGTTAATTGTGAACTAAATTAAGAAAAACTTAAAACATGAATAGTCAAAGTAAGAGAAAAAACCTTTTAAGGGTCCAACATAAAAAGAGCAAAGTATAATTTACCCTATTTTGTTTGGTTATGTTTTCAATTTTTATTGAATTGTTTTAGTATTTTAATTAAAAAATTATATGAAAATAAGATCATTGATAAGTAGGGGTGAACATGGTTCGAATTGAGATAAAATCAGGATCAATCCGTTATCTACGGTTCTTGAAAAATTAGAACCAATGCAATTCGTTTAAATCGTGGAACCAATCCAAACCAATTTGTTTAAACATGGATTGGATCGATTTAGAACCACGGATTCACATAATTAAATAACAAAAAAAATATAAAATATTTTAATTTCATAAAAACATAAATATAGCATCAAACAAAAGCAATAAACAAAAGTAACAAACAAAAGCAATAAAATTGGATACACATTACAGAAAGTATAGTTCTCCTTTGTATTAAAACTAAACATAGCATCAAACAAAAGTAATAAGAAAACTGGTTTAACTTTTATATAGAATAAGAAACGATATTACGTGGAAAGGTGTATAATATAAATATAGACTATTTGTATACGGTCCAGATCGGTTCTAATCTGGAACTGTAGGGTTCAATCTGGAATCGATCCATGGCCTGTGGATTTTTAAATTTTCAATTCGGAATCGAACCAGGATTCAAAAAACTAATCTAAACCTATCAGATTATACTCAAGGACGGCCCTGGGCATGGGTTAACCAAGCCGTGGCCTAGAGCCCCTCAAAATAGACCCAAAAAAAGGGCCTTCTCTCATTATGGTTGAGTATAATATATTAGGTAGGTTTTAAGCTAAAAAAAAATTATAAAGGCTCAAACTAACTTAAAACAAATTGACCCATTAAAAAATTGAAAGGCTCATTCAATAAAATTAACATTGTTATCCATTTAAAATAGACCATGTGCGGGGAGCAAATATTTAGGCAAGCCCGCACTCCTTTCTTCCAAGCTCCTGCCTGTCTGATCGACCTGCGAGCACAACGGCGGTGAGCTACCCCACGGTGTGTGGCCGGAAAACCCCTCCAACGATCAAGTTAGACACATACACAGGGATAGAGAGAAAGAGAGAGGACTGAGTTGTGCTTAGTGTTTTTCTCACCAAATTGTGTCATCTGCCAAGCATGGGAGGCGCAGACATGCTTATATACCTTCTGCACCCCAAATCTACTTCCAGTGATCTCTCGACACGTGGTACTGCTATCCCATCTGTCAGCACAAATCTTGCTGAACATCACCTAACCCGACTGCCAGCCCACTCTACTGGGAGCTCGGCAGCCGGGCTGCAGCATTTCGACTGTCAACGGCCGTGTTGTGCAGTTGGTCAGAGCACTCCGCTCACCGCGCTCCGTTTCAACCGAGCTCAGTTGCATCCCGGCATTGCCGAGCTCGGGACAGCTCACGCTGGTTTACCATCGGCCTTCTTGCCAAGCTAACTCTTGGACCGTAGAACAACCACGCGTCGCCTGGCGCCGGACATCCCGCTTGACCGGCTTCTAAATCGTGAAGCCAAACAGCCCGGTCCAACCACGCCTTCCCTTATCCGAGCAAAACCTCTAAGGATGGGGCCGTGTTACCGCGGCCCAACCTTGTTCGGCCAAATCCGTCCGGCCCAAATCTGTCTGGCCATTATCACGGCCCAAACCAGATCATAAATCTCCCTCTCAATTGCCCCTTAATTCCGTTCGCGCAAGCGTGACTGGGATTACCTGTTCTGGCCGGGTTAACTCTTCCTCGGTCTTTAGTTTTGCGAGAGGTCAACCGGGCTACTCTACTTGCTCGGTTCCCTGACCTGCTCGGTCATCGCTTCGTCTGACCAATATGTCTCCTCAACTCTGTCGCCGCCATTAATGGGGGCACGTGTCATGCGCTGATTGGTCCTCGAGCGGCCAACCAACGCGTCCATTAGCATTTAAATTTTTGGCGGTTTTTCCACCTTAAAAGCATGCCCAGTTTCCTTCATCCTACTCTTCTTGCCTCTCCATTCTCTTTGACGACCCAGAGCTCGTGCCATTCTTCCCTTGCCATTTCTAAGCTTGTGTTTGAAGGAGGAGCCACTGTCTTCAACTGGTAAGTCCTTCAAGCCCCCCTTTTTACTATTTCACTTGGTATTGCACATATTAGGGCATAAATCTGTAGATTTTAGGACGTACCCTACCCTAAATCCTCACATGGCCCTTATTCGCGTTGCTGTTCTTGCTGTTCTTGCTGTTCTTCATTTTCCCTGATGAACACTGAAGATCTGGGGCAGACCGGGCTCCAGGTCTTCTTTTGATCCAAAAAATCATTCAGACCGAGCAAATAACCAGTCTGTCAAAACCTTAGGAGAAACCGGGTAGGCAGAGAACTCGGTCGCTAGTCCGGGCTAAAATCTGGTCCGCTTGAGCGATCGAGCTCCTTGACCCTATCGACCGAGGTGGTTGGCACCCTCTACGACCGAGTTAAAGTCAAGCTCGTTCTGCGCGACCGTGCTCACACTTACAATTGTCATCCTTTTCCTGTAGAGTCCAAGGAGACCACTGACCAAATATTGAGGCTCTCAAAAACTGAGCAGCCATCTAGACACCAGTCTTTGCCAAACTACCTCAGCCGAGCTAAACCAGCCGGCTACACATGGGGCGCTTCCGCTTCCTCGTTGACACCCTGGCTGCCTTGGCTGTATTCTGGGAAGACTACGATATCTCGGCAGATGTTCACCCAGAGCTCGCCGAGATCGAGACAACCCCTTGGGGCAGTTTAGACCAGTGTCCCTTCACCGTTCTTTCCATTGTTGAAGGAGGCCTCCGCTTCCTGGTCAACCCTCTGCTGACCGAATTCCTACGCTGTATCGGGCTAGCACTCACACAAGTGTCAACCAACACCTACCGAATAATCAACGGCATTCACGGACTAAATAACCGGCTAGGGACCAACTTAGGTTTAGCCGAGATACTGCGACAGTACACCCTTGGGCACACTGGTGATGGCCTCGCCTATTACTTAAAAATTCGACCGGGCAAAGAAAAGATAATGACCGGCACCCCAGACAAGGACTTACACGATGACGACTTTTTCTGGGTGTCTGGCAACTATGAAACGGTCGACGTACCGGGCTGGTTCATCAGCAAGAATTTCGGTTCCACATGTAAGTCGTGCCAACTTGCTCGGTCAATTGCCTTTGTTCCATATTCTGTATTTTAACACTTCTATTCTTTCCTTTGCAGCAATCCAAGCCTTACAAGCCAACTACCACTATCCCAACGAATAAGCCATCAGGGCCGTGCTCCGTTATAGCAATCGGGATTGCAACGAGCTGCTCGGCTACACCCCAACCTACCGGTACTCTGCTCCACGCCAGAGTAAAGTCACAGACTTTCTCCGTGCTCCATCACCTCCTCCAGACCCAACATTACCGGACATGCCCTTAATCCGGTTAACCGAGACGGAAAGAGATAGCAAAGAGAAGCCGCATCAAGAACTTACTCACAGCAACTTCCACCGAGATCCCGAGCATCCAAACTCGCCCAACTACTGCCGGTCAATCCAGCGGGGCCGTGGTTACCTTGGCTTCTCCGACTGTTGGTCAAGCCAGCGGAGAGACACGCCGTGCTGGCAAAAGACCACGTGCGGACCCTTCTGTCGAGCTGGTGACCGAGCTCAGCACCGAGCAACCTGCCATCACCGTCGACCGAACACCGGTATGAAGGCCCCAACTCAAACACCGGGGTAAAGACATCCCGGCAATCGCTTCCGTCAAGGGTGACAAAGAGCATCTGCTCGCCTTTGACCTTTCGAAAGCACTCCTTCTACCGAGCGATGTGGTTAGCAGTGACCACGTGCCAGACACCCGGTTGGTGAAATCCGCAGTGAAGTCCATGACCAGGGTAAGTCCCAACTTATACCTAAATTTTCACAAGTGTTTGCACGGTTTTTTCTCTGATCAAGCTTTCTTCCCGCAGGCTATCTAGAAGCAACACTTGGTCATGGAGAGAATTCATCGACTGCGACAGAAGGCAAACGACACTGCCAGCCAAGTCTAAAATCTTCAAACCGAGCTCAGCTGAGCAAAGTCTTCACTGCAGATTGCCAACGCTGACAACACCAAGTTGCTCGGCCAGCTTGGCACGCCGAGAAAAAGAGGGATGAGCTCCAGGCCGAGCTGGATGCACTCAAAGAGTCAAGGGAGAAGGAGTGCAAAGACGCCAACAATGTCGACTTTAAGGGCCGAGGACAGCTATAAGAAGCAGGTCTTCGCCACCCAAGACATCTATTTCAA